TAATCCACTGCTCCATTTCATTAAAATAATTTTGACGCTACAATAAGAACTGAAAATGTAACTCTTTGTTTTATATAGAACTTGAAGTATGTTTTTAATTTGAAGCGAAATTAGGCATTAGAAGGCCATATATTTGTTGGCTACGGTCGACTTCGAAAGCTATAGTTCTAGAGAATATTATTATTATGATTAATGATATCTTTTTATGTTATTCAAAGTACTGTTTTTTTTTCGGAGTTGGTTGTCTTCGGATAGACGTTTCCTGGAGAAAGTATGTAAAAGGACAGCATTACATATGCCGAATGTTCATAAATACTGTGTTCAACTTCTTAATGCATTAAATTAAAAAAATACAACACATTTTTGCTTCTTTTTGCGAGAAAAAAATGGCTATGGGGCTATATCGAGGAGAAAGTCTATAATATAAAGGTCGCGTATGTTTAAAATGTCCAAGCACGCATAACTGCAGCCTTCGAGCATGCCACAAACGACTATGAGCAGCGTACGTGGCAGGAATTGGAAGACAACCTATGCGCAACCGATGATGCACCTGTGGGAACATACTGATAAAGTTGCAAAACACTTATCATTATGTCTATCTTTGACACATAAAGAAATTCTCTTCAACGTGTTTTATTATTTATATGTCTTATCATGCATCGCATTCCTTTTTTAAGTTGTTGCGTTGCATGTAAAATCATACCATTAACTATTTGTATGATGTCCACGGCTTAATTTCTAAAATTAAAGGTGACTAAGGCACATGGAAGGCCGTCAGGAAAGATAAATAAATATAAATGAATAATTAGTAATAAATAACGAATAATTAAAATTAAATCTATTATAAAGAGACAAAAATTAATTAATAGAAAATACTAAAATAATTAAAAAATACCATATTTCATCTTATCTGAGACTTCGATTTGAAATATGATGCCAACAATGAGAAGTGGCAGCTCTGGTGGAATTTAAGTCCTGATTGTATGTAGCATTAAATAAAGGTACAGATGGGGGTATTTGTCGATAAACCTCTTCGTTGTACACACTGGAAAGTGCCTTTGATCGGATAAGTATCACGCCTAAATACGCATGTTGCCCGTCTAAACGTACTACTTTCTTTGCTGGCTAAACTGCCTTTGATCGGATAAGTAACACGCCTAAATATGCATTTGCTCGGCTAAACGTACTACTTTCTTTGCTGGCTAAACGTGCTGTCGGCTAAATGGATGTGTCGGCTAAAACAGTATGTTTGCCTAACAGCTGTCAATTAAGTGTCCAGGATGGATATAGGACATTTGCGGATCGTCTGGTCACTGTAATACGAAAGGAATATTACCGAGTGTTTGAAAATTATTACTTTTAAATCTCATTTTGAATCTTGTAACACAAAAAATTCAAAACTGGATCTAATTTAGGAATATGAGATTTTCTTGCCTAAAAGTCCTCATTCATATTTTACGCTTCATTTGGTCAGAATGTCTCCAAATGAAGTCTTTCATCAGGGTGTCAGGCCTATCTCTTTACAGTACTTCTTCAACAGAAGTTTTTGTTTATATTCCTCCCTATTTTTTTATTTCATGTATTTATTGCTACATTTCCTATACATTTAATAAAAATGAAAAAAATATGACATATATTTAAGAGCTAGAGTATAATTTTAACAACTCTTTCCTAATATTCTTTTTATTAGTTAACGGCCACAGAGAAAACCTCAATCTTCTTCACGAAATTTTTCCAGCTTAGTGTCCGGGATATTAGTTTCAGTAATTAATTACGATTTCACTACATTGCATTTTATACCTTTAATATTTATCTCCACTGTAATTTAGGACGAAAGAGTGGACACTATAGTACTGTGTCTTTCTCACTTAGGCGAAACTCTATAGAAAAGGATGACTAAATGAATTTGTAAAGTTCCTTAATGACCTAAAGTACAGGGTGGTCATAAAGAAACTTTCTAGATATATGAACTCCTAGTGGCCTATATCCGTTCAATTAATCGAAATGAAATTTCAGATATTGTTATTTGAAAGTATCTGCTCGGATTTAAAACTCGGAGCTCGTACAGTTCCGGTTACAGTGAAAACATGTCGAAATTTTCGAAAGGTAACATTCACTTTTTTCCTGCACAAATTGATCAGCGGTTTGAAAAACTATGAATGATACTGGAAGCATGTACGTGTGACCAAAATCGCCGGCGAAACACATTTGAAAAGAAAAGCATTGTTAAGGACCAGTGACAACACAAGAGAGGAGAGGGAAAAAAAAACTTTTTTTTGGGATTGCAAGTTTTCAACGTGCCCACCTTCACAGACGTCAACGCACTGCATGCAGAACTGTGATTCTTGACAACACAGAGGAATCTCAGAAGGAATCTGTATAACTTCATGTTTTACAGCATCTTTGATTCTGACAAATCTCGTGAATTTGGTATGTATACTTTAAATTTCAGATAACACAGAACAAGAAACAGTCGGTGTGAGGTTGAGCGATCGCGGTGCCCATGAAATTGGAAGGTTACGGGAGATGATTCTGCCTTCGGCAAGTGCTGTAACAACACTTGCCGAACACATGTGACGACGTGCGGAAGAGCATAATCCTGCAACCATGCAATGTCATTAACGATGTTTCGCTGCTGCAATTCTGCAGCATTGTTGCATACCGAATACTCGTGGTACAGCATGTTCTCATATCTGTGGAAAAGAACTTTCCGAAGACGTACGGACCGAGAACGAATGTGCTTGTGATGCCGCACCACACAGTAGCTTCATGTAAAGGCCTGGTGTCACACAGTGAGGAATTTCGTCAGCCCAGTGAACGCAGTTCTTGGAGTTTGCGCCCCATTCGTCCATAATATTGTTACAAAATGTTCAGCTGCGGTAAGATAGCTTCACCGCAAAGCGATTTTTGGGGTTGCTAGAAAATGGCAAGGGAAGGTAGGGTTGTCATATTTGCCGAGAAATCGCTCATTTAGCGATATATGGAGACAAAATTGGCGATATGCCATAGACGGATGGAGAACCTTCTAGAATTGGTGGTTATCTTCTAGAATAGTTACCGGTTTTGGACCAGAATGTCCTCGAAGGCAGCCCAAAAGCTATATAAACCCTTCCTGCGCGCGGAGTGAGTGAGTCCTCGTCTAGCGAGTTGATCGTCAGTCTAGTGCCGAGAGAGTCTCTTAGTGTATCGCGAGTTACTGCATCGTCGAGTTTTATCCTAGAGTGTGTTGAGCTCCGAGAACGACCAAACCGAGTCGGGAGCTGTACTCTAGTATATCGTCAAGTGCATGGCGAGTTGTAGCGTGGAGAGTCTCGAGAGTAAGTAGAGTTCTGAGAACGACTAAACCGAGTCGGGAGCTGTACTCTGGTGCTTTGCCGTGAAGCTGTCTCCACCGCTATAAGCCTGATAGCCTGAATGCTGTGTCACTGATTGTTTCAACGTGCTTCTCTTAGTTTTCGATAACTGTAAACGTGTTTTTGGAGCTGCCCTAAGTAATATTAGCTAAGTAAATTGTGTCTGATTCTTCATCAAGCGTTGCCACCAATCACTCCAAATCTACGAACCCGTACAAGAACGTAGCAATATCCTCAGAGACCGCCTGCTATTTTCCTTATATCTGAGAATGAACCAAATTCATAAAGTCGACACACTGTTGGTCGTCTCCTGGTTGCAAGATCTGGACGCGCTGGAATCGATAAGAAAACATACACAGAACAGAGCGCAGAATCTTGAGGACTGTGGTTTTCAGTACATACAAAAACTGCAGGCAACATTTTTTGCAGTATTCAATGAGCCTGCAGTAATCGTATTATGCACTTCCGTAACAACTTCAAAATGAACATATAGTCGTGCGGATCGCGATATATTACATGTGCTCATTTAGCGACCACACGTTTTACCTTTTTACCAAATTCACATGTTTTTGCCAAATCACGTACAGTTTTTACGGAATATGGGCCTTGTCTTAGCTTATGATTTCGCAGACAAACTCGCACTGTTTCGGTAGCATTTTCCCCGTTGAAATTTCTCCCCCGTTACATATCTGTCAGAAAATAAGCTAACAAGGCTTCGTTGCTTGTTTTTAGTTGTTTTTATTGCCATATATACATATTATATATGCGGAATTCATAACAAAGGTTTTAGAACAGGATCATTAATTTTATGTTGGAAGAAACGATTGTGTTCGTCTATATGTCTAGGTGTGCGTGTTTCTTTTAAATGCAGAATTTGGAAATGGTAAAATATTCAATAAATTGCCTTCAGATTTCACTTTTCATTACTATAGTCAATACAAAAACGATATTACACGAAACTACCATTTACTCAAAAAAAAACAAAAATAAATGCTTTTATTGCCATTGTTGAAATACAACAAACGATAATTCTGTAAAACTAATTACTCGGTTTCCTTCATTAAAAAAATATTGTTTATTGCCATTGTTCAGTACAACAATGGTATTTACCTACGATTATAAGCCATTATTTATCCAGCTATTGAAACAACAATTGTTTACAGCGTCATATAATCAATAAAGCAGTTTATCTGAGGTCCAAGTTTCAAATTAAGAACTTTATACGATTTTGACAAATAACTGATAACTGATATCTCAAGTATTAATTTCTTCAAATGTTTATTTTTCCCGAATGAGGGTTTTTTTGAATATTTTTTTAGAATTGCTGCAGATAATCGCTTTTAACAACATGGCATTATAGCGATTCCTAATTTAAATAACTTCCGAAAGTTTGAAACAAAAATAGTTTAAAAACCTCAGATTTATTTTTTGCTTTAACTCGCTTCTTTGCCTTTATTTTAAATATTTCGCAATCAAAGAGAAGGTCATGTTTATAAAATCCCATACCTTCTGCTTTTTAATATTAGCGAATAAGTGTTTCGCAATCGAGTAAAAAACAAAAATAGAACGGAGGCGCTATTCAGGTTTTATCTTCTTTATTTTGCCCAGTCTTCAATAAGAAGCTCCTTAGTCTCCTCCTTCGAAGTCCAGCCTTCAGAACATGAGTTTTAAAAGTGAATTTTTGCATAATTTTAAAATAGTTTCAGACATTCTTCTATAGCAGTCATAACAGTTACATTTTAATGTGCTTCACTAAGCCTATTATTCCACTTTTCAGTGCTGCTGTTAGATGAGAGCGCAATAGTAGGTAAGATATTTTAGATTTTGTCCCAGTTGTAAATAAAATGCTTTAATTTTAATTCTGAATTTCAAATAAAGCATACAGCTGTTAATATTACTGAAGTCTAACCATTAATTAACATCTTTTGACCCCTAGATGATTTCTCCTTTGTAATGCGTTTTCAAAAAATGACTAATTTTGAAGACTCATCCAACTGATCTAAACAAAATGCCTCAATTTTTATCTTCCACATCCAATTTACTGTAAAACACTTCATAGCCTTGAATAAAGCCCTATTCATAGCCTTATTGGGAGCTGCATGAAAAAGTAACATTTCTTGAAGTCAACAGAGCTAAAGCAAAATACAATGCTTATGGTTCATTAAGCTTTATTATGTATATATTTTCGGGATTAATTGGAACAACTACATAGACCACTAAAAGGAAAACTGCAATCTTATTGGATGGAGTCCGCCTAAATTACATAGGGAAGGTTCAAAACGATATACATAGTAGAACTAATAGGTTATCAGAGTAATAGACATAAAAAATCAGCTGCGTCCTTACTAGGATTCAATCCACTTTATTCCGATTGCTAATTATACATGCCTTTATATATTTGTCACGCTTTTACAATAAAAAGCAGATGTTTATCCCAGTTTGGAAACATCTGTGTAAAAAACCATGAGAAAGTTTTGAAAAATATATATATTCAGAAAAAGGGGCAAAAAAAATCAGTAAAAATACACAGCAAAATCTGTTTATTTAGCAAGAAAATTTATTCATTTGTACTATGCCTGTAAAAGAAATATACTTAGGGAAAAATTTAGAATAATAAATAATATTGTTGTTGAAAGAATATTATGTCGGAGGAAAAGGTTTTGTTTAATTCCCGTCCCACTGAAGATGGTTTAACAAAAATGTTTTCTTAATGCAAACATTATAAAGATTTATCTTTTAAATTTTATCTTATGGCATATCTTTATTAAATGAATTTCTGATTCCCTAATAAAGAAATCGCAGTGGAAGATTCTTTTGAAATATTTGAGACAAAAAGCTAATGTAATTAAGAGTTATTATCTTTGTATATATGAGATATAAAATACTTCTTATTGGCTGTATTATAGCGTTTTTTTCAAATCAAACATGCAAAAACCATGCAAATGAGACATATTTCATTCATTTAGAATAACGTCCCCCTTCGTCAAGAATCGATTGTTTGTAACTGAAATAACAAATCATAAAGTGCAAAAGAGGTTACCACTTCTAGATTCAAATGTTTGACATCATGTAACCCAGTTACCCAGCAAAGTTTGGATATTCGAATAATGATTGAAAACTTATACTCTGTGTACTCTGTGCTACGAAACAACAATTGACAAAAAAGGAAAAGTAGTTAGTAATGTTATCGTATTGTGTACGTTATACATGTCTAGCTGTCTGTAGATTGTAGAATCATTAAAAGCTTCATATGAAGTTTATTAATTTTTTAATGACCTTAATGATGAACACTTGATTCATAATTTTTAAATCAAGTGTTGTCCTATAGATTAAAGACAGTCGTAATTAGGAATCCGAATTTGAAGATAGAATCGTAACGCTTTATAATGTTGTTACTATTATTGATTTTATTGCAAGGTTATTGACTTTAATGGTAATTGTTTCTGCTTTGACTTTTGCAGAAGCATCAGTAGAAAGATAAATAAATTGAGAACCTGAAAGTGACGCCTTTTTTAGAAGATTAACCATACGCTTATAAGTTTAACTAAGCAGCATTTATTTATTTTAAATTTTGTGCCTCTTTTTTTACTTGCTTTCCAGCTTAACCCTGTCCAGAAGTAAACATATTGATTGATTATTTGAGAAGTTAAAACTGGTGTTGAAACAGAGAAGTATAGACGTATGATTCTTTGTTGATGCCTTCTGTGTGGAATGTCTGTGACCACTTCTTCCGTCCTTGCGCTCGTCTGGCTGTAGATTCAATAAATAATCAAACAGTACAGTTGACAATGCACCTGTAGCAGTAAGTTATATCAACTTTACTTACTATTAGAAGACGAAATAGGTGAAAGAACTTTGATTTAAGCAGCCTCTCCTTTAATTGAAATCCTAAGGCATTTAGGCTTACGTTATTGCCACTCAAGTTACTGTTCTAATGCTTGAAAGCTTCGGTAAATCTTTAGTTAAAGTTCCGTTTTGTGCTATTCTCTGAACTGTAAAATCTCTTAAATATATCAGTTTGGATTCACTTGGATTTGTATTATTTCCGTTAGCGTATCTGTAAGGGCGATAAATTGCGAACAAAAGCGTAATCTGGTATATTGCTAAGTACCTTACTAAGTTAAAATAAATTACGCTAAGACACCGCACAGTTAGGAAATCACTTGAGAACACCGAAGAATTTAGAGATCTCAGATTCAAGTTTTGGTTTATTCATGGTAATACAGTCATTGCATATAATCCCGCAGTCACAAAATTTTACGAGTAGAATTCTACCATTAGAACATTCTTTTAGTAAGATATTTGTCATACTTCAAATCTAGTACAAAGAAAATTAATTATTCGGATTTAGATATCTAGATTTTCAGTTATCTACGTTGCTTTTCTTCTAGGCCATATAAGATTAGCTTAATGCAATTTAACGCAATTTAAATTTATTAATATACATTTAAATATTTATGTTAATTTAAATAATACAAAAACAAGAGTACAATACATACTTTAAAAATGGTTCAAATAATTTAAATAAATGTGCAGTTCATGAGTTATAGTTTTATGTTAGGTTACGGTTAGGTTAGGTTATTTGGATTATGGCAATGTGTTTTAAGCAAATGAAAATTAATTCAAGTGTTTGATTATGTCAAAAAAGTCACCGTATTTCGTATTTTGTATACTAAGGAAAGAAAAATCATTTTGTTTTTATTTAAGAAACTGACTGCCCATCTCGCACAATGGTTAGTGACGCTGACTGCTGTAGGGATGGGCCCGGGTTCGAATCGCAGTAAAGGGCATGGATGTTTCTAAGCGGGGGTAAAGTAGCAGACCTCTTCGTGGTGCACTTGGGTTAACGCTAAATCTGCTCTCCTCGTTCGTCTAGTGATCAGAGGTTCTATGGCCTGACACGTTTTTTTTAAATTTAGCAATATAATTATCATTGAAATAAAATACGATAAACAAATAAATAAATAAAATTACATTGACTACACATTTAACCTGCAGAAAATAAGCATTTCCCAAAAATCTGCTTAGCGAACTTTGGGATTGACTGAAATCCTAACTAATTTGGATATCTGGAGCTCGGCAAAACAATACATATGCATACAAGCTAATTTTTCCTTAATTATACAGTTATATTTTGAGCAACGTGGGTCTGAACTGCTCGCATTCATTCATAAACAACTTTTATTTCTCAGTAAGCACAGGAAATTTTTTAGATTAGATTATGGCAAAACTCATTTCTATGTAGTTACTTTCGCTGATGCATATTTGTCCGAGGTGACCATACACCAAAGAAACCTTTTTTTCGACAATAGCTGCCTTAATTTTTCCATCATTTCCTAAGTTCCATAAATTTGATTTTAATTTCAATATTTGCGAATAATCAACAGCCAAACATTGTAATTTATGTTAACTAATGCTTTTGTACAAATTTGATTTAATATAATTTTTATTAAAGTCAGATTTTTTTTCTGTCTTATTCTTAATTTTGATGACCAGGTAGAAACTGGTGGTTGGTTAACTAGTTAAACCAAAGCATGCAAAAGCTGTCATACACTGGTCATCAAAATTAAAGGATAATGACAGAAATAAAACGTAACTGATACTTAATGAAAAAATATTAATAGAAATTTGCAAAAAAGCATTAATTAACATAAATTAAAATGTTTAGCAGTTAATTATTCACAAAATATTGAAATGAAAATCAAATCTTTGCAAATTGAAAATGATGAAAATATTATGTCACCTCTTGTGAAAAAAATATTTCTTTAATATGTCACATCGGATAGATCTTCAGTATGGTCATATTGGATAGCTATACATACCTCACATCTTGATTTCATGATGTGAGGCACGCGTATCTGTCCGATTTCAATATTCATTAAAGTATTGATGAAGTCTTAGCACGCCATTCTTCTAAAAGTGCTCTTTCAGCTCCTGTTCCGGGGAAGAATTTGACGCATTGAAATTCGGCGCGCTAGGCATCCCATTACTTGCTAGGGTATTGAATTGTAATCTTATGTGTCACTTGCTAAAGTTTTGTTCATAAGTACTGTGTTCACACAGATGTAACCATTTTTAATATCTATGTTTTGTAACACTAACAATGTGCCCTATGAGTGGATCTCGTGTGCTCTAACATGAGTCAGCTTAGATAAGGGTGGACGTGGCGCTAAACCATTAACCATAATAGTAAAGGGATGGTGCCCACGTCCTCCGTCACTAAACTAAACTAAACTAAACTAAACATACCAATCGGGTTCAAGTCGGGTGAGTAAAGTGGCCAATACATTCGAGTGATATCTTCTGTTTGAAAATATTCTGACACATAAGCAAGCTTGAAGTGACCGAGAACTGTCATACATTAGCGAAACCTCTGAGCCATCAGCACACCCAAACAGACTAAGATGGGGTTCCAATCCCTCGATCGCATATCTCCGAGCGGTTACAGAACCTCCTTGAATGATATTCGGCTCGGTGCCGCCATTTGTCATAACTCCTCCCCAAACCATTAAACTGCGGTCATGGAAACGGGATATTTCACAGACAAGGGAAGGCAAGTTGCATGTTCCTTCCTTTCTTCAGATCAAAACACGTGTAGAATCACTGTTCAGACTTTATCTGGATTCGTCAGTAAACAGTACACGGCCCAGTCATTCTAGCTGCATTGAACATGACTACGGCACCATTTTAAATGTGCCCCTGTGGAAGCTAGAGTGAGTAGGACACAGGTCATTGGTTTTCTCGGATACCGTCCAACTTTCTTAAGCCTTCGTGTAGCAATAGAACGGATAATTTGATTTCCCGTGGCAGCCTAAGCATCTAGAACCAAATCTCTTGAAGTCGCTTCGCGATTTCTTCGAACCGACAACGACAGAAAACGGTCCTCTGATGCAGTTATTGCTCTTGGTCGCCCTTGACTAGGTCTATCAACTGATCCAGGCTTAAAGGCTGCTAAAACTCTTGAGGATAGTTCAAATCTTAGGCGTCCTCCATTTGTGTTTGATCTCCCTGGATTCTACCAATTATTCACCACTTTTGACTTTCACTTAAATGGTACTTTTGCGTCATAACTACTGAATACTGATCACTCTCAGAAACCACATTCACTTTAAACAACACTACAGACCGAAATTTCAACATGTGTCCAATGTGCACCACATTGTCAATCAACGAATCTGCATATTTCCGGCACTAATGCACGGAAGTGCAGTTTTGTGCTCATTTGCATTTAATTAAGTCGCTTAATTCAGTCGCAATGCTGTAATTAACATATATAATTACAGCATTGGACACTGGTTTCAACATTTACTTAGGGATTATATGTTTTCCTCATTATTCCCTAATTTTGGTGACTAGTGTATTAACTGGAAGGATGATTTCGCGGAAGATTCAGTAAGTGAAACTTTGTCTTAAAAACGTTGTACATAGGAGTCCTGAAACCTCGAATTCACGAAAAAGTCATTGAAACCTCATGTAGCCAGAGCTTTCGTTGAATGTGCTTTGAAGTACCAGTATTCAGTGGTATTATTAACTGATCGCTGACGAGAAAGTTTAAATAGGAAAATGTTTTTACAGAAATTTGAGAGAATCAGAAGCACGTAAACAAAACCCGTGCCCTAGAAAGAGTAAAAATAAATTTTGAGGGTGACACTGAATGCTTAAAATATATAGAAATACGTTTTTTAATTATTTAATGCCGGAAAATGTACTCATATCTACTGCAAAATCTAATATAATATTTATGTAGATAGTGAAAGGCAGTTCATTCATTCCACAAATGCAGGACGTAGTTTTGTATTTACGGAATGGATCATCCGTTTCTCACTACTTATATTAATATTGTTTCATTTGTAGTTGTGGCTATCAAATATATAGGACGTCTACATCAATGTTATCTCTATAGCATACTCATCTGCTTCTTCGTACTTATAAATATAGGACGTATCAATAAAACACAGTGGTATCGAAAATGCATTTTCTCTTCTATGATTTTTTTAGTAATATTTCCTTTTAATCAAAGAACTTTATTGTAAAAGATATATATATATAATACACTTAAGATACAAAATTGTTCATTGATTTTAATTGGCAGTTATGTTATAAGTTTTCTATTTAACAGTAGGCTTTTAGTGATTAAGTCTTTGACAGATCAGAAGTTAAATGTGCGTTTTCAACAGCTCGGATGATAGGCGCCATTCTGAAATCAGTTCTGTAATTAACTATTTTTTCTGATTAAAACGCAGGAGGTTATATTCCGATAAGACACATTCCGATTTTTAATGCTCTGTACAGATAAAATAAGATTCGTGGAAGAAAAACAAGTCCTAAGTAAACTGTTATCAGAAATTGCACTTACGACCTTCGGCAGTTTAGAAAAACGCAGTAAAGTAACAGGTTGCAAAATACTGCTTTCTCCCTTTAAATTATAGATTCTGATGCTTTGATAAGCCAAATGGCGACTTACGTTCTGCGAATGATTAAATAACAAAAACCCTTTAGCAGAGATGAATTTAATTAAGAAACTGAATTAATGACCTGAGTCAATCCAGGAAAATGCAATTGACTACAGATTAAAAGAAAAGCCCTTAAGAAACGTCAAATAAATTCTTAGCTGCGTCAGAAATAACATACGTATTATATTACTCACATTACCTTTTCTTGCACGTATACAACTTAATGATATGAATGATAAAAGGGAATCCGTATGAGAGAGATAACAAGTGTGTTTAGTTTTCCCTGCTGTAAAACAAAATGGAAATCGTGCATCTTTTATGTATGTAGCACTTAAGTCGTGTGCGCAGC